AACCCAATAAAAACAAAGGTAAAACTTTGACCTTTTGTTTCTTCTGTCTCTTTTTTGCATTCAGTAGATAATTTTCACTGACACGTCTAGGCACATCCAAAGAGGTAAGCACCATTCTAGGAGCCTTCTGTACTGTGAAGTGTACTAGGTACAAAATAAAAAATAAATGTACAATAATAAAGCATTAAAATATAATGAACACAACTTCATGTTTTATTAGGTCAGATGGTACAGACTATTTATACATAATTGATTTTATTTATATCACCACCCCAAAGGCTTAGAAATCATTCAACTAGAGAGATCTAATTAAACCATTAAAGTAAGAGAAGAGAGGGCTGGAGAGTTGGTTGGCTCAGTAGTTAGGAGCATGTCTTACTCTTACAGAGGGCATGAGTTAGATCCCAGTACTCACATGGTGACTCACAACTACCTGTAACTCTAGTTCTAGGAGAGTCAAGTCCTCATCTGAACTCTGAGGGCACACACAAGTGCAGACACACACACACACATAAAAAAATAAAGGTAAAAAAACTAAAAGCCACATTTCCCAATTAAGAGAACAAACAAGATAAAAAGTGGCCTAAAAATAATATCAAAACCAAATACAAATCATTATTTTGATTATCTTTTCAACACACACATACAATGAAACCATTGTCCTTCACTGGACAATTCACTCAAGAGGATAATATTTTTCTTTCCAAAATATAGACGTGCCAATTTCTGAATATGAATAACAACAATATACTACTGAAGTAATTTCTGAATGTGAAGTCATGTTGATACATCCAGCAAAGGGTCTTCAGAATTGTATCTCCTTCCAGAAGCCAATGCAACTAGTACTGATGCCCCAGTGGAAAGGTGCTCTTGGGAGTTTAACCCTGCAATACCAGCTGTGTGTGTGCCTGTGATCAAGACTTAGACTGTCTCTGGGAAAAGGTGTTGTCTCTTGTTCATATTCACAGAGTGAAACCCAAGGACAAATTATATTTCACTTGAAGTAATATGTTCAGAGCAGAACTGGAAATCAATAGACCCTGTTGCTTTCATTCTTGAAAGAACGAAACAACATTGAGGCTTTAAAGAGAAACACCAAGTGCAGGATGATCTCAGAGAAAGTCAAACACCAGGCAATGCTGCTTCAAGACTCTCTCCACTCTCCTTCCCTCCCCCAACCAGGCAGCTCTTTCCTACTTCAAAGTAGAATATGCTTTATCTTTAACTGAAACTAGTTTTTTGCCGTACAATATGTTCTGATTACAGTTTCCTCTCCACTTATTCCTCCCAGTTCCTCCTCATCTCCTTCCATCCAGAATCACACAGCCTTTCAGTCTCTTGTTGGAAAACAGACATCTAAGGAATAATAAAATACAATAAGACAAATCAAAAACAAACAAATGAGAATACAAAACAAAATAGGAAAAATAGCCAAAAAAACATAATAAACACATATAGATGCAGAGACATACATGTTTGCACACACAGGAATTCCATTTTTAAAAAACCCACAAAAATGGAAGCCATAATATATACCCAAAGGACTCACAGCAGAATATTTTTAGCCCCAAGTCTGTCATGATAAGAGGAGCTCAAATCTCTTTCTAGTGACCCAGATCATTGTGTTGCCTTCCTCAGTTTGCCCTCTAAATTTCCCCTGTAGTTTAAACTTAAAAAAATGCTTACTGGAGACCTATTATGCACAGTATTATAAGCAAGGTGGATTTTTTTAAAGCTGCTAATGGTGGAATAAATACCTTAGGGAAATCTCAGAATTTTAAGTAACAACAAGTAGGAATAAAATTTTCAGCTTTCTGCATACTATCTGATTTTTGTCTTTTAAAAAAGTTTTTTTTATTTTTAACTGAGTATGTGTGGGTGTGCACACATCAGCACAGGAGTCATTGGAGGCCAAAGGTACCTGAAGCTGAAGTCAATTGTGAGCTGCCCAAGGTGATAGCTGGGAACTGAACTTGAGTCTTCGGAAAGAGCAGTAGATGTTCCTGACCTGTTGGCCACAGCTGCCGACTCCCTTGGTCCCTACTCTGTATCATCCTAGATACTGTTGGAGATCCAGAGTCATCATATTTCATGTCCAATTTTCTCTCCTCCCTATGTCTTAGAGGACCAGTATTCTGGGCATTGTCAGAACTAGTATTCTGTTTATATTTTTTTCCTTTCATTGTTATAGAATTCCTGATTTACTTTCCTTAAGCCTAATTCTCATATTTGGCTCTTCTGAAACCGAAGTCTTAGAAAGGAGAAACCTGACACCTGTACAATACATTTTCTTGGACAGCCACTGTCCATATCATAACACTTGCATCTGCACAATTTCCAGCATCTTTTTCATCTACATAAACAGGGACCTGTGGCTTAACCAGGCTTAAAATTTAATTCATGATCAAACTTGTATGCTATCTTAATTGGGTTTCTCTTGCTATGATAAAACACCGTGACCAAAAACAATTTGGGGATAAAATGGTTTATTTCATCTTACAATTTACAGTGCATCATGAAGGGAAGTCAGGACAGGAATTCAAGACAGAAACCTAGAGGCTGACTATGGAGGAACACTACTTACCAGCTTGCTCCTCAAGACTTGCTCAATTTGCTTTTCTATACAACCCAGAACCATCTTGTAAAATAACTCTTTTTTAATTGGATAGTTTATTTATATTTCAAATGTTATCCCCTTTCCCGGTTACCCCCCAAAACCCTCTATCCCATTCCCTCCCACCCCCGCCCTTGAATTTCCCTACACTGGGGCATCGAGCCTTCACAGGACTAAGGGCCTCTCCTCCCATTGATGCCCAACAAGGCCATCCTCTGCTACATATGCAGCTGGAGCCGTGGGTTCCTCCATGTGTACTCCTTGGTTGGTGGTTTCGTCCCTGGGTGCTGGGGCGTGGGGGTGTCTGGTTGGTTGACATTATTGTTCTTCCTATGGGGTGGCAAACCCCTTCAGCTCCTTCAGTCCTTTCTCTAACTCCTCCATTGTGGACCCTGCAAAATATCTTTTATTCACCTGATGTAGCTGTCTTGGAGGGTTACTGCTGAATAAGCTCACCCTTACTGGGCCTTTCTGAACTCTGGCTGGCTGGTTCAACTCAGTTGTTCTGGCTCAAACTCCTCTCCAAGATGATTGATTCAATCTGGCTCTCTCAGCTTTTTGCTGAATTGCTCTGTTTGGCTTCAAACTAACTCTGGCAATTTGTTCTAATCCTCTGGCTCCTTCTTATTCTCTGGCTTCAACAGCCTCTGCTGACCTGCACTCAACTGCATGAACTAACAAAATCAACTCCACTGCGCCACACTCACTGCACTAACCCCAACTGACTGAATTCAACTGAACTGACTCACTGACCTGCCCTTTCAAATATGCTCCTTCCTTCTATAAACTATCCTTACTTTCATTGTTTGGGATTAAAAGTATGTACTAAAGGTGTGTCTGTATTCCAGCCAAAGCAGCCAAATTGCTAGATTAAAATTCCTCTATACCAGCTGCCTAGAGAGTACTGTCCACAGGGTTCTATAGAGGAGCAGAACCAATGGTGTGTGTGTGTGTGTGTGTGTGTACTAATTAAGTCAGCTTACAAATAGTAAACACAGCTGAATTACAGCCAAGAGGCTGAGAACTCAGTAGTTTCTCCATCCTTGAGTGCCTCTGTAGTCAGAGTAATCTCCCCTCCACTATGGTGACCATCTCTCACTGGGGAGCCTGGCATAGTTGCTCTGTCCACAAGAAGGATGCCTCAGCTGTCCCGATCTGGTGCCAAAAACCTGAGAAAATCCTGGAGAGCTGCTGGTCCTTAGATCCTGATAGAAAATGGAAAAAAAAAAAAAAAAACTGGTTCTTGTGTGGAAAGATTCAACCACAGCAGCAGAAGGAATCAACTTGAACAGCATGAAGGAAAGACAAGCCAGAACAGGTGAGCTATCTTCCTTTTCGGCCATGACCTTTTAAATCTGGACTGCTACTAGAAGATAGTACCCACAATCAATCAGCGTGGGTCTTCCAAATCATTTAAGGCAATCAGGAAAACCTCCCTATTCTGTAGGTTCTAACTTTCGATAACGTGCCATAAAAATCAACCATAATATATAGACGCTCAAAGTTCAGGCAACCTTTTGCAATACCTACTGACATATTTGGTTGCCAGGAATTTGGTTGCAATCAATGGGTTGTGGTCTTCTAGTGTGCAGAGCCCAGGAATGCTGCTATATGATACCACAACAAGGACTTACAACAAGGATTCACAAATAACTACTGCAAAAATAAACTAGCAGAAAGCTGCAGAATCCACCATAGACCCTTATCTCACTGCCTTCTTCCATTCAAAATGAAACAGGTTGCTGAGAAGTCTAGCGTGACAGGAGGCTTTCTGCACTCTCTCTACCCTGTTCTTATCTTATTCCCAGGGATTCACAATTAACTACTGCAAAAAACAAAAAACAAAAAAACAAAAAACAACAACAACAACAAAAAAACTCGCAGAAAGCCGCAGAATCCACCGACCCTTTTCTCACTGCCTTCTTTCATTCGAAATGAAATGATCTTTGTGGCTTTAAGATAAAGAGAGAGCGAGTGCAGGAGCTAAGGAACTCAGAAGGCAGAAAGGAAATGCAAACTAATGCGTACAAACTAAGATGGGGGCTGTTGAAGATAACTCCCTGGTCAAGAGCGCTTGCGCTGCAAGCTTAGGGACTTGAGTTCGAATCCTAGGCACCCAATTATAAAGTGGGTATGGTGATGGAAACAGTTATGACACGTTTGCCTGACAGTTCACTCTGGATAACTGCCAGGCTCCCAGGACAACAGATTGACACCCAGACCTTTCTCCCGCTGGCTGCCGACACTTGAAGTAACCTGGAGTGCGTGGGCGCGTGGTCGGGGCGGGGCCTAAAAGCACACGTCCCTGTGTTGTGACGTCATAATCGGCAGCCGCGGAGCCGGCCCTTAGCAACCGGCCTGGCGACCCTCGCTGTGGCCCCTTGCGGCCCCGCGGGCCTGGTCTTTCTATTTTCACCTCCGCCGCGGGGGCCCGGCTTGGTCCCAATAAGAACCAAGGGGACACAACCGCGGAGGCCGCAGGAGGACTAAGCTAAGCATGGATGGCAGCCGGAGAGGTAAGGGACTGCGCGGGTCCAGGCTGCGTCACGGCCTTTCGGGTCACCTGCCAGCTCCTTCTCCAGTGTCGCAGGGTAATGGCTAGAGCTAGAAAAGGCCGGAGCTCAGGAAGGCCCTGCATCCTCGCCTCATTGATTACTGCCTGATCTTGAGTTTGTCCCCCTGACATCCATCCCCTGATCCTGGGGTATCCTGAAGCCTGTACCACTTGGGTATCTCCTAGGCAGAATACTAAGCCTAATCTTTAAAGTCTGACTTGAGTCCCAGATCAGGCCGGCTGCTTTCACAGAAACGACCGTCAGTTTCCTCATCTCGAACGTAGTGGGTAAATACCTATGCAGTGGAGTTCTTGGAGATTAAGTGCAGATAATATGTAGCAAGCTCCTGGTGCGTTTTAAGTACATGAAATCTTCTACTCCTTCCCTTCCTCCCTCCAGAACTGACTCACCCAGAGCTGGTTAGAATTCAGTTGCTCCAAGGTGGGAGCTGGGATACTGCCTTTGTAGTAAACGTCCAATGTGGCTGGTTGGTGGACTGAATGTTTTATAACAAACGACTACCTATAAAAACAATGTACACCTTTTTTTTTTGTTTTGAGTCATTTTCTGAGTCAAGTGGGGCGTGTGAAGTAGTTTGTGACCTCTACCCATAAATTTTTACAAAATATTTCATATTTTGAAATAAATAAAAGATTATAAATAATTCCCCCAGTGTCACAGTTGGTGACAGAATAAGATATGAACCCAGACTAAGAATCTAAAACCCTCAAGTTCTTTTACTTACATTTGTATAGTAATAGGCTTAGTGAGGTTTTGGTGTTTATTTTTAAATGAGGTGACAAATGTAAAAGGGTTTATACCTTATAACTTACCCAGGTGGCTTCACTTTTAGCCCATAACATATAGTAATATCATTGTTGCTGGTATACATGCTGTATTCAATAAGTATCTGGGCTAGTTTTCATATACTATAAATTATAAGTAATTATCATTGTAATTGATCATGAATTATAAGTAACTATTTAGCTGAAGCTTAAATGCTTAATTTTAGTTTAAAGTAACTAGAATATAGGATGCTAAAGATCCCTGAGGGAAAAGTTCCTCACCTGCTCACAGTAGTCACATTCTTTTGTGGGGCCAGCCTTCAAGAGTAGTGACACAGCAGGAAGCAGGAGGAGACAGCCTGTTAGGACAGCCAACTGAAAAGAGCATGGGAAAGGTTTTTTAATCTGCCGTTCCCTTGGAAATACCTTTAAAGGTGACCTATTCCTAAACTGGCAGAAATGTTGGGGAAAATACTGAAACACCATTTTTTTTTCCCTCAGTGAAGGTTCTTCTGGTTGTTAGTAAAACCAAATCGTACAGGAAACCAAGCTGAAGAATTTGACCATCCCACCAAGACCACATCAATCTCATGCAGCCATTTTGAGTCTTAGAGAAGACTGTTCTTTTTCTGGACATTTAGTTTGAGACTGCTTTCGGATCATTCTGGATCCACTCAGGATATGGAAACTGTACTTACAGTTATTTAAATGAGTGTAAAAGATTGTTAGACAGTCATAAAAGTAGCTAGAAGTAATAATTACTTCAGTGTTACCTAACATTTGCATTGGCAAAAAAAAAAAAAAGTCATATCAAGAGACGGAAAAATATACCCATTCGAGGGAGCAATGCCTGAGAGAGGGCCTAGGTGAAGTGAGTTGTCTCGGCCTCCCTTCAACTCTGTGAGTTTTAACATGACATTATCTGTTAGGAATGTTAGAAACCAGTGAGGGCACATCTTAATGTAAATAAATAAAGAAGAAACAACCAAAAAAGCTGCCTGGGGAATACATATTCATGTTCTAAACACTAGTTAAATTAACACTGAAACTCTGCTTCTTTTTAAAGATTATTACTGAACATACAATTAAATTGTGGAGAAAGAAATTGTTTTGTGATGGTGTCTGTGTAATTTTCTAATCCCATGAAGTCTGAAAGATCAGAGACTATTTGGAATTCTCTTCAAATATAGCGTGTTTAGTTGGGTACATTGGTGTGTACCTGTAATTCCAATTGCTTGGAAGGCTGAAGCAGGATCACTTGAGCCCAGGAACTCAAGACCAGCCTGGGCCTGGGCACTATAGTAAGACCTAATCTCAGAAGAAAATAATATAGTAAATATAACTCAAAATATATATTATCTCAAGACAAAAATCTAATGTGTCAGTAGTGAACAGAATAAAATCATTATATATCAAGTGACATAAATGGTCTACTGATCACTTGACCCAGTAAAATCTCAAAGTAAACCAGTCTGAAAATAACCTTAGTTTGAAAACAGTTCAGTAGTAGAGCACTTGCCAAGCACAGACCCCCATACATACAGTGCTTTACATAAAGTAGCTTGTTTTCTTTTTCTTTTTTTGTCCTGGAACTCACTCTGTAGACCAGGCTGGCCTCGAACTCAGAAATCCGCCTGCCTCTGCCTCCCAAGTGCTGGGATTAAAGGCGTGCGCCACCACCGCCCGGCAATAGCTTGTTTTCTTAAAAAAGAAAAAAAAAAGTGTGTGCACCTATGTGTAGGTTTGAAGCTAAGGTCAGGTGTCTCTCCTCAGGTTTTCTCCACCTTTATTTTTTAAGACAAGATCTCCCACTGTTTTATTTCTGTTGCTGGGATAAAATATCCCAGTGAGTATTGTCCGTCTCCGAATGGAAGCCTCCACAGAGGAGCTCGAAGCTCTAATGTGCCCCCAGGCACTTCCTCACTGAGACTCTTCCTGGGTAATTTTAGGTTGTGTCAAGGTACAACTAAAACTGTCAGTGCCAGAACTTTTGAAGGTCGTTGATTCAGCTACTGTAGTTTGTCAAAGAGTGCCAGGGATCTATCTGTGCCCACCCCGTCCCCTCCAACGTCCCCTCCAACAATGGAGTTAAAGGCGTGTGCTGCCATGCCTGGCTTTTTACATGTATTCCAAAATGAGGTCTTTGGTGCTTCTGTGCTGGCCGCTTTATCAACTGAGCCGTCTCCCAGCCCTTACTTTCTCAAAAAAGAAAATGTTCAATCTGTGGTCACAGGATTTTTTCCTATTTGATAGATTATTGTTGGTAGTAACAAAGCGATGATTTTTTTTTTTAGACAAGGTCTCATTATTTAGCCCTAGCTGGATTTGAACTTTTTATATAGACCAGGCTAGCCTGAAATTCAGAGATCTTCCTGCCTCTGCCTCAAAACTGCTGGGATTATAGGTGTACACCACCATGCCTAGCTGAATAAAAGTTTCAGCAACCTTATTTAAAAATAAAGGTGTTATTTTTAAAATTCTATATTGTTTTCTATGAAAGTTGTGTTTCACATGTCCTAATTTGTGGTTTCTATTGTTGTTGAAAGTCAGAGCAACCTCTGTCCTTCCCAGATACAGTCCACCATGCCTGTTTACAGGACACTTGAGCACCAAGAGCAACGGTAAGTGAGCTACCTACAGCTGCAGCCTCGTTAAAAACTCAGCGTTCTCTGTGCTGGGAGGTCACATGACCTGATGATGCAGTTCTCTTAAGGAACACTTATTTGTACCTCCCATCAGTAATTAGAATTAAATGTTGTAGGCATTCTTTGGACTCAATTTGGGGGTCATAATGTCAAAGTATTATTGTGCCCTTATTGTGAACCTAGCTTTCCTACCCTGCCACAACGAGAGGCTACTTTTGCCAGCATAAGATCTGGTTTAAGGTATGTCTGCCTTGTTAAGGTGACGATTGTCAAATGATAAAAGTCTCCAATGTAAAATTTTAATAACTCTAAAATAATTTTTGTAATTAAACATCTTTGGCATAGGTTTTAGGAAAAACAATTTAAACCTATTGTTCTTATTTCTATGAAAAAATATTTCATACTGTCCCCTCTAAATAAGAAAAAAATGATGAAATTTGTAATTGTTTCATTTTATTTCTTTGTACCAGAGGGTATACATAGAAACAACTAGGAAAGCGGATTTAAAAAAAAAAAAGCAAACAAACAAACCTTTGCAGCAATATCTGGTGGTGCAAACCTGTAATACCAGTATCTGAAAAGCTGAGGCAGGAGGATAGCAATTTGATGTCCTGCCTGCCTGGGCTTAAGGCCATTCTGGGAACTTACTGAGACACGAGCATGCGCCTGCAGAGCTAGTGCAGGCAGAATATTTGTCAGCACGAAGCTGCATTGGCTCTTATCTCAGCACCCCCTCCTTTGCAGGACTATGACACAGACTCTGCGCTTCGATTAAATGGTCATTATGATGGCTAGAAGGAATTTTACTGGTAGAGAGAGTGTGACAATGCATGGCACGTGTCCGCCAGCCACGCCTTTGATAGTAATGTGCTTATATTATTTGGAGTTTCCCTGAATGGATTGATTTTGAAGTACTGAAGTATAGACCTAGGAGAGGAATCTAACTTCCAGTGTAGAGGAGTCAGTCGCTTTCAAGCTCTAGATTCTATTTTACTGTTGATTCATTTTTAAAGTATATGTTCCTGTTACTTCTCAACAATCTTCCAGGGGCTGGGGAGGTAGCTCGATGGATAGATAAAGCACTTGCTGTGCGAATGTGAGCGTTGGGTCTCAAACCTGTGTAGAAGCATGGTGGGAGTGGCAGCCCACCATGGTGGGGAGACAGGACTGGGATGCCCAGAGCAAGCCTCGTCAGCTGACCTGGCTTCAAATGAAAGATCCTACCTCAATAAATAAGCTGGAGATTGATCAAGGAAGATTCCTGACACTGTACATGCACGCTCACTCTTGTGCACATACATGTTCCCACACACATGTGAACATGCATAGGCATGCACTTGCACCACACACATGACATGTAGAAAGTGGTTTTAATGTTTAAGAATATACCTCCATAGTGCTTTATCCGTACATCAATGCTTACATATATGATGTTTAGTGCTTCTAAGATTCCCTTTAAACAGTTGGAGAGAAGGTAGAAAGGATGAATGCATAGATTTTACTTAAAGCAGTCTGTGGATCTTGACTCCAGCTGTAAAGTCAGAGACTTACCTCTCTGTGACAGTTACCTCAGTCTCCATGTGTAGTTTTGTGCTTTGGGACTTGTCTGATCTCCCAGGCTCAGCGATTTGTTCATTAGCAAGCAAATGACTAAAGATGTGTAATTATGAGATAAAAACATGAAATAGATAGTAATTTAATAGTAGATTAACATTATTAATCTATCAGTAGATTATTTTGTAGATTATTTTAATAGATTATATTCTAGAATCTCTTTCCCAAACTCTGAAGCTTGTAAAACTTAACTCTCGAAGAGGTTGGAGCCCAGGTTATGAGTTGCTAGTCAGTGTTCCCAGGGCAAGATGAAGACTGGATACAGAGCCATGAAAGTGTACTCTCTGCCTCCTCCGGCCAACTCCAGAACGGGGCTGAGAGTGACGTCAGGAACTGTATCTTGTGATGTTTGTATTAAGTTTACATGTGTAATGATTAAATATGTTTTAATTTTTAGCTTTTTGCACTGACTCCTCTTCTCTCAGACTAACCACTCTCCAGCTGATCAAGAATCACATGGCTGTTCACTATAATAAAATCCTTTCAGCCAAAGGTAAAAAAATGTGCAAATTTGAATTTCCTGTGCCAATTTAAACCCCAGCTTTATGTCTCGTTATGATAAACCTGTGGCAAAAGGTTTTTTTGTTTGTTTGTTTTTTGTTTTTTTTTACATTATTTCAAAGAGGATTTGTGTCTTAAAGTGAGATGCCAACTATTGAGTATATCAATGGTAAATTTATGTTAACAATGCTTACAAGTACATAATGCCTAGACAGCTCATTTCGTACATTTAGTCTGTATTCTTTTGTTGTTAGAGACTGCTAATTGTTCTATTTGTGTTTAAAATTTTATGTGTATATATTGGGGAATGCTGTGTGTGTGTGTGTGTGTGTGTGTGTGTGTGTGAACAAGCAAGTGTGTATTCAGGTGCATATGTATGTGTGTGTATGCACACATAGAAGCCAGAGGTCAACCTTAGGTGTCATTTGTCGGGAGCTATCCAATTTATTTTTTAAGAGAGGTCTCTCCCTGAGACCTTGAACTTGACATTTTAAGGCTAAACTACATAGAAGGCAAGCCCCAGAGATCCTCCTGTCTCTGCTTCCCCAGGGCTGAGAGTACAAAAGGGTACCTGCTTTTCACTTAGTGACTGTACTATCTTCCTAGTACATTTTTTTTTACACTTTTTTTAAACAAAGATTTTATATAAAGCCCAAGCTGACCTGGCATCAGCATCCTTCTGCTTTGATCTCCCAAGGAACTACATGCACTGTGCTACCATATCCAGCTAGGTGCTCCTCTTAATACAGTATAACCTGCTTTTTCACTTAGGAAGTTATACAAAGAAGATGGTGGCTGCTACTTTTCCTTTTATTGCTGATTTTATTAAAAGATAACTTACATAGAATAAAATGCACTCGTTGTAAGTCTATAGGGAAATCCTTTGACAGTGTCTACATCTCTATAATCACTAAAGTGTTGACAGTAAACAAAAGGTCATTTAACTTTAGCATGTGTGGTCATATTCCTGCCCCTTGCTTTTGTTCAGTTCAGGAACAGAGAAGGGTGTGTATATTTTAAATTGCTGCCAAGAAAAGGGAGAGTGGTATTTTGTAGCATTTGAAAATAGTATGAAGCTGGGCAGTGGTGGCACACACCTTTAATCCCAGCACTTGGGAGGCAGAGGCAGGCGGATTTCTGAGTTCGAGGCCAGCCTGGTCTACAGAGTGAGTTCCAGGACAGCCAAGGCTATAAAGAGAAACCCTGTCTCGAAAAACCAAAAAAAAAGAAAATAGTATGAGCCGGGCGGTGGTGGCGCATGCCTTCCTACACTTTTGCCTTTTCTAGAGTTTCATGTTAATAGACTAGTATGTATTTCTACTTTCAGTCTGGCTTCAAGGTGTACAACACTTTGAGGGATCCATCATGTGTTCATCAGTATTTCTTCCTTAGTTTTTGGGGTGTGTGTGTGTGTGTGTGTGTGTGTGTGTGTGTGTGTGTGTGTGTGTAGGACAGAGCACACCCTCAACTGCCGTTCTTATTTTTGAGACAGTCTTACACTGATTTGAAGCTTACCCATTAGGGTAGGCTGGCTGGGCAGCCATCCCTGAGGACCCACCTGCCTCCCCAATGGAGGATTTTATGTGCACCACCACACCTGGCTTTTTTACATGGATTTGGGGGGATGGAACTCAGTCCTGTGCTTGCACAAGTACTTTACTGACTGAACTGTCTCCCCAGCCCTTAAATGTACTTACTTTTGTTTATAAATAGGATTCTAGTTGATGGTGTGTGCCTTTAATCCCAGCACTCAGGAGGCAGAGGGAGACATCTCTGAGTTCTAGATCAGGCTGATCCGTGTAGTGAGTTCTAGGAGAGTCAGGGCTATCTAGAGGGAACCTATCTCCAAAATAAATAAATAAAAGTATTCCATTTAATGAATCTGTCATAATTGGTGATCCATGACTTAGAGAGTACTTGGGTTTTTTGACTCAGTTTGAGTTATTGGGAATTAAGTTACTGTAAGTGTTCACATACAGTTGTGAACATGTGTTTCTGTTTCACATGGGTAAGTTTATTTTACTAGGAACAGAGCCGTGGGTATGTAATGGGCACACTTAGCTTTGTGACAGACTCCTCTCCATAGTGGCTGCTGTGTGTGTTTCCTGTACCACTGCATCCTCAGCTACACTTGCTGTTGCCAGAATAGATAGTGTCTCTCCTCTTTGTGAATATCTCCAGGTTACCTATAAACTTCATTTTAATTTCACTAATTCATTTTTACTAACTTTACCTAAGTTTTATTTACTTTTTTGTGACTGGGATCCCACTATGTAGTCTGAAGAGCTGAACTTTAAAATGTTTAGATTATGTTTTAAATGATTGAGGAAAATAGCAGGTTGTGGCAGTATAATCTTGTAAAAATCAAGCTCGATTTTCATATACTTTAGAATTTGTATTTTAAATGACATGTTTAAGAGACCATTTTCTAATCTTAGAGTTTTCTAAATTTGTTTCCTTTTTTTGTTGTTGTTGTTGTTGTCTGTTTGTTTGTTTGTTTTTCGAGACAGGGTTTCTCTGTGTACCCCTGGCTGTCCTGGAACTCACTCTGTAGACCAGGCTGGCCTCGAACTCAGAAATCCGCCTGCCTCTGCCTCCCAGGTGCTGGGATTAAAGGTGTGCACCACCACCGCCCGGCTCTAAATTTGTTTTCTTCTAGAAGCTTTTTGCTTTTGACTCTTCCATTTAAGTTTGTGGTTCATTTTGAGTTTTGGTATATAGAGTGAAAAAAAAAGACAACAGATTTTTGCCTACCCATATATAAAATTTCTGGTAGCAATTATTGAAGAGTAATTCCCTATTGAATTACTTCAGCATCATTTGACCAGACGTGTAAATTTCTCTTGAGGTATAAATGTGCGTTTCTACATGTCTACCTTTCTGCCCACAGCATCCTGCCTTGTTTTCGGAGCATGTCGTTAAGTTGAAATAGTGTGGAAATGTTCCACTTTGTCTGAGTCTCCTCAAGTGCTGGTGTGCCGTGACATGGCGGTGTGCCTGGCGTGGCGTCAGGCCAGCAGTGCTCTGATCCTTCCTTGCTCAGTCTTCCTTACATTTCGTATTCAGTTATACTGCTATGTTTTCATGGTCACCGAGATTCTCATCTGCATTACCCAGCGAGCTGTTAATCCCACCTAGTATTTTTTATCTGCCGTCTGATTTTTAATCTCTAGAAATACAATGATAAAACAAAGAACTTCAAGTCTGCAGAGCTTTTTGTGATTTATAAATTTAGTATCTCTTTATTTATGAATATGAAGAATATAATTAAACTTTTTTTTTCTCTTTTAGCTGCAGTGGACTGCTCAATTCCAGTAAGTGTGAATACTAGCATCAAATGTAAGTAATTTTTTAAACATAATACCATTTTAAAAATATGATGAAACACATAATTTGAGACTTAACATCCTAAGTATTTCTAAGCGTTCTTTTTTTTGGGGGGGGTGGGGTTCGAGACAGGGTTTCTCTGTGTAGCCCTGGCTGTCCTGGAACTCACTCTGTAGACCAGGCTGGCCTCGAACTCTCGAACTCAGAAATCCACCTGCCTCTGCCTCCCAAGGGCTGGGATTAAAGGCATGTGCCACCACCGCCCGGCTCTAAGTGTTCATTTAAGTGGCATTAAGTACATGTGTGTTTAAAACACGGGCGAGTCATCACTGTCGTCCAGCTACCCTTGGCCACGTGTGAGCTCTGGCAGCCACATGTCCACATTCTGCTTTCTAGTTCAGTCTTTCTGCAGTCTACCTTCCATGAAATTTATGATTCTAAGTTCCTTGATTGAGTGGAATCCAATAGTGTTTCTTCTCTGTGCCCAGCATATTTTACTTGACACTGTTTTACTTCTTAAGATCACTTATGTAGTAGTAAGTCAGAATCTCTTTTAGAAGTTTATTGTTGTCTGTGTTTGTATGATGTATACATGAGCACATGAGCCATGGCATGCATACGGAGATCAAAGGACAACTTTGTAGAGTTAGTTCTCTCTGCCTAACTTTAATTGGGTTCTAGGGCTCAAACTCAGATCACCAGACTTGAGTAGCAAGGCATTACCCATGAGTCATCTCAGCAGCCCAAAATCTTTTTTGAGGCTGAATAAAGTCTTGTGTACATGTGCCCTATTCTATTTGCTCGTCATTAGCAGCTTCAGGTGTCTTCCATTGCTGCGAGTGACAGTGGGTGCCTAGAGGTCAGAGTATGTACCCAGAAGTAAGGTTTCTGTGTCACTAGTAATTCCCTGTGTGCTTTGTTGGGAACTGGCATGTTTTCTATGGCATCTACACAGGTTTACGTCTACCAGTCACAGCCCAGGCTTTCAGTTTCCCCAGATGGAACACTTGGGAGTTTCTGGTTTGGTTAGTTGGTTAGTTTAATTTTGTTTGGGGATTTAAAAATTCCCATATTCTCTTGGTTTATAAAATAAATTGTCAAAAAAATCACCAAATAATAGAAGAAACAAAACGTTTGCTAAGAATGTAGGAAATAACAAAATGGTAATAAATCCCAACTTATAAATGTATTTTAAGCTGGGCAATAGTGGCACATACCTTTAATCCCAGCACTCAGAAAACAAAGGCAGGCAGATCTCTGTGAATTCAAGACGAGTCTGAGCTGCAGAGCATCTTCCAAGACAATCAGGGCTACACACAAAGAAGCCCTGTCTCAAAACAAAACAAAAAACCTCAAATATATAATATATTTATAATAGATATTATATTTATAATAGAATGTTGAATGTAAGTAAATAAAAACTTGCCAAGCCAAAGATGTATAGTGGCTGGTTCAATCTAAAAAGCAACAGAAAAAACAGAAAAAAGGTGGTGTGCTGTCTGTAGAGGTCTGGGTGTAGATGTGAGGACACACACTGAATGAAAGAATAAAAGGAAAAATAAAAATAAATAAATAAATAAAAAGAATAAAAGGCAAAGGTGGTTTACAGGGAGAAATCAGTAGTGGTTACTATTATGTTGGCCAAAAATCTTTAAGTCAGAAGCTTTCTATAGAGAAAAAGATGGCCATTAGAAGGTATAAAAGGGAGGTCTAGCAGTTATAGTTCAGAACTCCCAAAATATAAAAACGAAAGAGTAACAGAAAAATCTAAATCTCGAAACTGATAGCAATACAGTAGATTCCATATTCTCTTTTCAGTAATGGCAAGAATATCCAAACAAAATCAGTAAAACAGTTAAGGTGAATAACACAGTTAATGAAATGAACCTAACAAACATGGCAGACTTTCCACCCAGGGCATGACGCACATTTTCCCTAAGAGCATGTGGAACATGCTTGGAGTTTGTCATATCAAGTTACAAATTAATCTTAATATATTTCAGGAGATAAAAATCACTCCAGTTATCTTTTTAAACACAATTTAGTTAAAATAAAAATTAACAAAAGAAAATAATATTCACAAATTTGGAAACTAAGTAACTTGGAGTCCAAAGTAAACTAAAAGAGAACTCTTGATGGGATGTGGTGGTGCACACCTATCACCTGGACAGTGACACAGGGCCTGCCTGGGCTCCAGTGAGACAATCTGCAAATGAAAACAAAAGGAAAAGTCCCAAACCTTAAAAAACAGCCATCAAACGAAAATAGCAATACTGAAACTGGTAAGACACAGCAGAGTCAGCACTAAGGTGCAGGTGCCTGCACTGTGGAGGGGAAGGACTGCAAACAACTTAAATGTAAATCTTAGGAAACTGAAAACTAGCTCAGGCTGTGGCTCACTGGAACAGCATTGCTTCACATAGAAGAGACCTCCTGTCAGCACCGCACAAAGAGGAAAGAGAAAACCGGGAAAGAAAGTAACCCCCAGTTAGAGGACAGAAGTAAAAATAAAGATTAGAAAAGAGGGGCACAGAGAAACAACAGAATCTAAAAAACAAAAACAAAAAACAGAAATTGGTTTCCTAAAAGTTGACACTCTTAGCTAGTCTTAGCTAGACTGAAGAAAGAGAATGAAGACTCAAAAGAGAGAGAAAGAGGATCATGGACTTCTGTGAGCAGTTTACACCAACAGTTGGATTGCCATGAAGACATGGATAGATTATGAGAAGCATACAGTGTAGCAAAACTGAACCAAGTGTAGAAAATGTGAAAAGACCACAAGGAGATGTAATCAGTAAGTTTTCAAAGCCTCAGTAAAGACGAGCCGGGCCCAGATGAGTTCCTATGCAGATTCCACCTCCAAACTCGTTTCATGAGACCAGCACCACACCAATACCAAATTCAGACAAAAACAATATATGAAAACCACGGGTCATGTCCATAGTGAATATAGGTGGAAAGTCCACTTGCAAACTGACGTTTGTAGCATTTTAAAGAAACTTACACCATGATTAAATGACCAATGACCAAATTATTCCTTGAATGCAAAAGTGTTCAACACATAGCAAGCAGTCTCATCGGGCCACACTAACAGAACAAGAGAAGAGCCACATGAGTAGCTCCATATTTGCAGAAGACACATTTGATAAAGTGCATCCATTCATGGCTTTAAAAACTCCTCTGTCTTAGTTTGGGTTTTATTGTTGTGACCAGAAGCAACTTAAGGATGAAAGGGTTTGTTTCAGCTTACAGCTTTCAGGCCTCAGTCCATCGCTGAGGGAAGTCAGGATGGGAACGTAGGCAGGAACTGAATGAAGTAAAAGCTATGGAGGACTGCTGCTTACTTGCTTGGTCCTCATGGCCTGTTGAGCGTGCTTTCTTATAGAACTCAAGACCACGTGCCTAAAGTTGGCACCATCTATAGTAAGTTTTCCCTCCTGTATTAATCAAGAAAATGTCTCCTATGCTTGCCCACATGCCAGTTTGATGGGGACATTTTCTCACTTGTGGTTCCCTCTTCCCAATTGTCTCTAGCTTCTATCAAGTTGACAAAATATCAGTCTGTACACCCTTTCAATAAAGAAGTTAAGCTCAACACAATAAAAGTTATATATGAAAATCCCATAGCACCATGAGAGTAACTTCTAAGATATGACACAAGGTAAGGATACCAGTTCTTTTCTCATAGGATTTGAAGGCTTAAACAGCAATTACACAAAACTGAAATGAAAGATTGTGAAATAAAAGTAGGAAGTAAAAATATCTGCAAACAAGACTATACATATAAAACCCCCTAAAAAGACTCAACCATAAAAAACCTACTAGAATATACTAATTTAGGGTGGATTAGCTAAAATCTTTTCCCTTGTTAGCCTGGCAAACCTCAGTTCATGACTTTGAACTCATGTAAAGTTGGAAGAGAACTGGCTCCAACCATTGTCCTCTGCTCCTACACGTATGTACTCCTACACATAACAGTGTGTGTGTGTGTGTGTGTGTGTGTGTGTGTGTGTGTGTGTGTGTG